ACGATTGTTAATTTGAGCATATTAATTTTAAATGAATAGAGACGACATGGGACATGACACATTTAAAAATGTAATCTCACTTAAAGATTAATGTGTCGAAAATAGAGATATCTTCCAAACAAGAATTTCCTTTTTTTCTGTGCAACGAGTCCTGAATGTTTTTTTTCTCGCGGAATATTCTGGACTTTGAAATATACGGCAGGACTCGTGTAACGTATGCGCGGCAATTTCGAAACTTCTACGCAAGCAGAAACAAAAAAAAAACGCAACTTGGATGCAAATAAATGCGAAATAAATTTGACGCAATATGTAAAAACGTCGTGTATTTTATCGGGCGCTCGGCGAACGGCAGCGTCGCTTCAACAAATGATTTAGATTGCGGGCAATTTCACGTTACTAAAAAAAAAGTGGAAAAAGAAAAAAACAAAAACAACTGAAGAGAGAGCGTACTTTGACATCTGGCGTATCTGGCGATATATCGACGCGATGTATTAGCTCCAAATTGCATTTACTCTACATGCGTCGAAGTCGCGTCTATGGGAAGCAGAGTGGGCCCGAAAATTGGAATGTGCGAACGGTAGAGAGTTCAAGTTGAAAATGGGACTAAAATTTCGACTGTCGCGGGCTTCTTGAAAGGAAAGAAAAGAGAGAAAGAGAGAGAAATCGCGATGCTCGCGTTGGTGCATGCGCATGCTAGCCGCACAAGAACAACGACGGATCGCGACGGGCGCACCGCAATTAATATCTGAAAAATTAATAACCCAGCTAATGTCACTTCTTGCACACCGCGTGGCGTCGCGCCGCGAGTAAATCACGAAGGCAAGTCCGACCGTCCGGCGGAGCGAAGAATGCCCTCGCAATAATAATTATTCTCCAAACGCAAGACCGGCAATTAGCATCTCATTGGCTCATTTCTCGCTTATGCTAATGGGAATATTATTTAAGCGCGTGTGCGAAGGGCTGACTCTCTCCTCCTTCTCTTTCCCATCTCTTCCTCCTTCATCTCGCTCTCGCCCGCTCTCTTTCTCCTTCTTGTCCACTCGAACGTCGGCTTCCTCTCCGCGCGCGCATACACAGTTTTGTGGCTGGTCGCCTCACGTTGCTCGCTTTGCCGCCTTCCGCTGCCGCGAAAGACGCGTCTCTCGCCGCGTCTTTCCTTCCCTCGTCCGTCGTTCCGTTTACGACGGGAGAAGAGCTGGGACGGAACGCCGTTCTGTCCGCCCACGTGGTGTCTCCTCGCGCGGTTTCCCCGTTTAGCCTCGGCAGGAAATTCCCCGCGACTTACCGGAACGCGCGAGAGGCCCTTCGTCTGAGATCGCGTCAAGCCCTCCCGAATGTCTGCAATCGCTCGTGAAGAGATCCTCACGAGACTCAATATATATTCGACTTTAAGAGGATGGATTTTACTCCTTCTTCCGTTTTTCTTCGAACAAGCGTGTACCACTACACGTGTAGCATTTGTAGAAATAAAAAAAAGAGAGAAAAAGAAACAAAAAAAAACGAGTGAAAGCATCGAACAAACAAAGAAATCGCCGGTGTCGGTCTTTGAAGTACTGTTGAACTGTTCGATTAACCGTTGTTTGTATGGCTTTGCATGGATTTTACATTCCGTTTGTGACGATTGCTCGACGGCGCTTGTGAGATCCGGTTTTATTCTACTACGTGCTTTCCCCAGCATGCAATTGTTTCCTCAGGCCAGAAACAGCGGTCACAACCGCACCGAATTTTCCGCACTTCGGAGCCCCTTTCACGCTCGCTCGGCCGTGCGTAATGGAAAAGAGAGGAAAAGAGAGCGGAGGATGTACGAGCAAAGGTCTCTCAATCGTGTTCCGGTGGCCATCGGAGAGATCTGGCGAAGAAAATGTCGGTATCGCGCTCTCTGTCTCAAGAGAGAGAGAAAGAGAGTCGCCGGCTCAGAAGGCAATCTCACTCGGTGACTTTTCCGTTCTGCGAAATTATCGGCAAAAAAGCTCCGCTCGATTGGCGTTCGCGGGACGCGCGAGAAGGGCGGGAGGGAGGGAGGGAGGGAGGAAGGATACCTCTCTTTCTCTCGGAGAAGATAGAGAACGGCAAGAGTACGAAGAGGAAAAGAAAAGAACTCCGGAGACTTTGAGAGGCCGAAGGAAGGAACAGAATGCGAAGGGGGTCGAAAGGATGGCAAGCCGTAGGAGAGGTAGAAGGTGAGTAGAGAGGCGAGAGGGAGTAGGTGGTGGACGAGACAAAAAGCGCGAACGTTACGTGCCTCTTCTTTACGATAGAGGCTCATTGCTCGTAGATTGCGATTTGCCACGGACGTAATGAAGCCACGCCAACCTTCCGCCGGGCTTCCTACGACGACCGGTGAGCGACTACTATGCGCTGCTGCGCGGTTACCGCACCGACCGACCAACCGACCGACCAACCGACCGACCGACCGGTGCAACGACAAGCGCAGCCCCGAGCAACCCTGAGGAGCTGTCCCTTCTTTCTAACGCTGCGCCGCGGCAGATAGGTTGTCTGCTTGGCGGCCGCGCCGTAGTAGACGATTCGAAAATTTTTCTCCGTCGAGCCCATTTAACTCCCTCGATTTACTACCCGTAACACCTGCCAGAGCCGGCTTTTTGCAAATGCACGTCGCACGAGGATAGCCGAGAGCTATAGACGCGCGCGCAAACGGCACCAGAGGGAAGGACAGCGCGGTCGCGCGGATGACGTCGCTACTTCCCACTTCTCGTGGCGCAAAAGGAACATAAATCACCGATGATATTTGCTTCTTATGTGATCGACCGCGAGTTAATAGATGAAAGCCTCAAGCGCGAGTTCCAGAAGCAGGAGTCCGAGGAGGGCACATTCTGCTGGAATATGCGCGATGCTTCTCGCGCGATTTTGTCACGATCGTTGCTATCGCGGACTAACCCAAGCGTTTTCACTTTCGCAGTTTCTGCATGCGCGGCGTTATTTTCGAGCGAGATCGGTCGACAGTTGTGACAACGCTGGCGAGAGATCCAAGTTGCACCTTGCACGAATATTCGCAACCCGATGCGGCTGTGACGAGGCCAGGTAACGGACGTGACGTTTCGAAAAATTGTGGGCAACGGTGCGAAAACAGCGTCGACGAAATGCATTCCTCGTCGCCACTCTCGCTTCCTCTTTTCTCCGTGCAAAAAAAAAAAAAGGGAAAAACAGCCGGCTAAAATAAGCGTAAAACAGCAATTTGGCAACAACTCCGTGCGCTGATCTCGAGAAATGTAGCACTCGAATATTTTTCAATAAAAATCGTCCGTACTGTAGTACACGGCTTCTCCCGTTCGAAAATATCGATCTTTGTATTGCGTGGGAATTAAAGTATACATTTGTCGGGTGTCGTGCTTATACATCCGTCAAACAAAACTGACTATTGATCCTAGGGATTTAACAATTCGGCAAAAAGCAACAATTCAACCGCATTCCCCGGTACAACTCGTTGCAAACTTTTTCTCTTTGTATGTTTTCAAATCCATTCGATCGAATTTTGTTAATATCGTGCGCGTCCCATCCCAGGTAGAAATATTATATGTATTAACTATGTATATGACTATGTGACTTCAACTGTATTAACGTATTATTTTTCGTTGATACCAAAATAACGTTATTTCAATATTAAGCGATACTTTTCGATTCGTGTTTCAGAGTTGTCAAAGGAATTTGCCGGGCGACAGAGACTTTCGCGATTGCACGCGATGAACAAATTCTCGCGAAAAATCCCGCGAAATAGCGAGGTGAAGTGAAAGAGCCACGTCAAAGGCGGCACAACGATTCCACGAGGAATTCCTAATGATGGATCAGTCCTGAGTCGTCCTTAGCCACCACCATCACTAGCAGCACCGGTGAGGCCGCGTGTGTACGCGTTCCCGCCCGGACTCCGGAATACACTCGGAGTTATTTAAAAAGCCCACTCTGCCCGTTATCTCGATCGGAGAGCGCGGAGGGTCGCTTAAAATATTTCTTCCTCGCGTGTTTCGAAGATCCGCCGAAGGTTCACTCGAGGCAGTAGCAGACAAGGAGAATAAGAGAAACAGACGTATCCGTCCGTGGGGGAAAACAATACCGTAAGGGGCAACATCGCCGCGTGTTAACCCGACCTCTAATTATCGCGCTATGAGTTACGTATGCGAGTGTTACATCACCTATCTTTCGAGCGCGCTGCCATATGCCCGGCGGACCAAACCGCCGCGGTGCTATCCCACATATTACAGACCACTTATTTACAATAACATTTCGGTCGGTCTTGCATAAAACATTACTCAGTCAGTCGATTCTATCTGTTAATGAAGGAAAAGTTAGTTGGTGCCGATTATATCGCCTTAGCCTCGTTCATAAAATGACAGAGGAATTCGGCACGATGGTTTGTTCCGGTCAGTGGGGCGCGCGCGCGCGCGCACACACATACACAAACACACACGTGCACCGTCCACCTTATCGTCCTATCTCATAACGAATGTATCCGCCCACACGAAATATTCGTGTATCCGCGTTTCGAGCGACCAAGTGACGGCGAACGGAGGTGAGCGGCTGACGCCACTGTGTGTTCCGTTAATTATTCCACCGTTGGAAGAAGCGCGGAACGCTCGCGCGTCGTTGCTTACTTCCCGGCTCGTTATTTCGTCGGGCCGACGCAGCCGTATTTGGGTATCTCGACGGACGATCGCCCGATGAAATTGAGCGATTAGGAGCCGTCAGGGAAGACGGAAGAACGCGACTTCTCGCTATTTACACACCGCTGCACACCGGATCGCATCTCTTCGAGGCGTCTTTCTCGCGTTTCTCCCGGTTTAATTGGTCCCGTAATTAAGCGTCGATGCCCCAAAGCAGCGGGATAACACGATGTCTCGCGATTTTCGCGCGCGCCATTCCGAAGAGAAATCGCGCGAGAACGAAATTATGCGCGGAGATAAGCGGTGTATCGAGGGGACACCAAGGAACGTCTCTTCCTTCGCGCTTATACGCGCGCTCTCGTGCCAAGTGAATAAGGAAATACTCACTAGCGAGTCCACCTCCGGATCCGCGATGTAGTACGGCTTCTCTTGTCTGATCTGCAACACATGGACACACATGTATGAGAGCGTTAATAATTGGATCCAGCGTAATTGCGGTATTAAAGCTACACGTACGATCGTATCGCGGTGTATATGCATATGTGTAAAGGGGATACACACGCGCGCTAGCACACACACACACGCAGCCAAACCTATCCTCCACCTCTCGTTAGCCTCTCCTACTACTCCCTCTTATACCTCCACCTCCTTCTCATCTTTCTCTAAGCGATTTCCTTCGCGTGCTTCCTCTTAATTGGACCCCCACTGTTCGATTCGTACGTACAGAAACGGAAACGCGTCGGAGAACGCGATGGAGTCGCGGCGGCGAATCAAGGAGAGAAGAGAGGAGAGAAAGAGGGAGAAAGAAAAAGAGACGACGTGAAGAAGTCGGAAAGGGCGTCGAGATTCTCCGACATTTCCGTGACGCCACACGCGAAAACCCCCGAAGAGGAAAATGCCATGCTTCCGGGTTTTTCTGGCGGAACCTCCAAGTTCTCCCCCGACTTGTTAAGCGAAACGCGCGAGACGAATCTCGTCGGTCAGCGCCTGTCATCTGATTCTCGATGTGCATGGAATTCACGAGACGGGGCAAGCGCTACGCCGCGCCGCGACGTCAGATCGAACGAACAGATTAGATCCTGCAGGATATCGTTAACTCTCTATGGGGCCAATTATTTGCGCCGCTGGAAAAAGCACGCTGCTGGCCTGCCACGCCGGGGAGAAATTAATTACCGAACGGATACATATCTCCGTCGATTCTTTCGCTGCGCGCCCCGTCTCTCATTTCTACGTCCTCGAGAATCGTAGAAAGAAAGAGAGAGAGAGAGAGAGAGAGAGAGAGAGAGAGAGAGAGAACTCGCGCGCGGAGGCTCTTAATGTTACTATAAATATATCCACCGTAAGTAAGTTCTCTCGCTTATTTATTCATCGCGCTACGTACGTGAGCGCATCAGTGCCCAGCCGGGGACGCAGTGCGCGGATTCTTTCGGGAAGGAACGACCCTTCGGTATGTACGGCGTCGAGAATCGAGAAGAACGGCGAAACGCGAGATACAGTCAGTCGGCAGAAGCGCGTCGCGCGCGTTTGCCTGAAAGAGAAAAAGAATCGGATAATGAAATATTGTCCGCTCGCAAGAATTCCCAGGCAGGAGACGCGCGTATTCATGAGCCGGAATTCTGAATGGGAATCGTCCTCGGGCTCTCCTCTCCTCTCCTCTCTTCTTCTCTCCTCCCTTCTCTTCTGCGCCGGTGACCGTATTGGTAATGAAGGCGTCTCACGCGACAAAAATACTGTCAACTCTGTTCTCGTGGGGTGACGCGGGGGGGAGGACTAGTTCTTGCACACGGCCCTGTCATCGCGCTTTTTCGACCTAACGCCATGCAGGTAGGCAAGATTACAATTTGTAAACAGTCCGTTCCATTTTCTCCCCGAGCGACTCCCTACTATTCTACCCTCTTCTCTCTTTCCCTTTCTCCCTCCCTCCCTCTCACGTCAGCGTTCGTTGTTCTTTGCGCGCCGTTTTTCCCGAAACGAGAAGCCGGCGGTTCATATGCCGACACGTGCTGACGCATTCGTAAGAAGACGGACGGTAGCCCGAGGTAAAAAGAGACGTCATGTACGAAAGAGAGTAGAGTTGAGAGAATCGACCAGATTAGCCGACGTTTGCGGTAACGTATCCTATTTAGCTAGCGAAAAATTTCATTCTTATGCTAAAAAACATTAACAAGTCAACGTTAGAATAACGAGTGAGCAACCCCGTAGGAATAATCACAATATAATTGCGCGACGGTATAAAAGAATTCGTTTTAGTTATCATACAAAATTTTAAAAATAAATAAAATAAGATGCAAGCCAGAGACGATTTATATAGTGTTAAAACAACGAATGAGGGATCCCGTGGAAGGAAAAATCACGGGTGCCATCGCACGCCGACGGTGTCGAGAAGGAGACTGACCCGGCGCGAGAGGGTGCGGGAATGTTCGATGAGAAAACAAACAGAGATAGATGCGTATAGAAACGTCAGCAGCATTCGCTGGCTGTGTCGGGCGGAGGGCGAATAACTCAGCCGCGATGGTGGTAAAAATATTGCGCGATAATATTTAGAGAATGCTCTCTCGTTCCGGCACGCCGGGGTGTCTGTTCGGGTACGATCTCGGCTGCACCACGTACGAGAGCATCACACGGAGGGCAGATACGTACACACGCTGCGTATTTGCCTGCCTTGCTACGTACGTGGCATTAAGGCTTTCGTGGTGTGCGCTGATCTTGCCGAGATATACACGAAACAGCTGCTTTTGGACGTTGCTGTCGCCCTGCCACCCTCTTGAACTCTTCCCTTCCAATTCGGGAACTCTATGCAGGCCGAAACACGCGTCTCAATAAGTGACACGAATAGATATTCGAGACGATACCACGAGCAGAACTTTCCAGATCTTTTTTAATTGCACGAGACTAATAAGTTTTGAGACGTTTCATTTAATTCAAATGCTACTGCAACGGATGCGTATCAAGTCAAGATCACTAGTAGAGAATCAATTCCGAGGTTGCATTTCCACAAAAAGTTTATTCAAAAGAAGTAGATACTAAATCGGAAGAAACGAATATTTCAGTTTTCTGTGACAAACGAGACCATTGGAGACCATTGATTCTACGATATTCTAAAATGACAAATATGCGTATTCGACCGTAAAGAACACAAGAACGAACTATGACGAATGCGAACAAAGTCATAGAATAATGTAAAATCTCGAGAACAGGATAAATATTCAAGGTTACAAACTTTTGAATGTAAAGATGATTCTAAAGAACCATAAAAGAAAAGAAACCGTAAAGAAAAAAGAAAATCTTGGAAAATGACCAAGGAAATGGTAATGACCTAAATTAAATATATACATCCTTGCTTTTAAAGAAATATGCAAAATTAAACACGTCCGTCAAACAACTAAAGGGTAGTTGATTTTTGCTCACAGCTGGTGGAAATATTTGCCGAAGCGAGGAAAGAAGGAATGTATACGCCGCAGCACATACAATGACAAAATATTTCATTCTTTATTCATTTTTCACGCGCAAAGAAAGCAATTCAAAAGGTTGAAGCCTTAAAAGATTTAAAAGGCTGAAAGAATCTTTCTTCGCAGGTAAAAATCCGAAAGAAGCCGAAATAAACGACTCAACGAGTTTCATAGAAACCCGAGATATTGCGAATAATCCCCTGGAAGATAATACTTGACTGTTACCTCAACTGCTACCTTAACTACCACTTGTTCGGCTCGAGTAACGACTCACTCCGCATACTTTCAGCTAATTGTTTTTCTGGCCGCCAATGGCTTGCCCGGCATAAAGACAAAACTACCGACAGATCAAAACTCACGATACACACGGTCCAAGAGCGTGACCGGCCGATGAACGGCCACACGGCACGTGGGGTTTTTGCAAAACGCCACGAGGAGCGACATAGTCGTGGAGTTACGCGAGGAAGAGAAGGAAGATGAGAAGGAGGAGGAAGAGAGTCGTGGCTGTACGCGTGATAGCGCGTGATCGCTATCGCGTGGTAGCGCACGTCAAAACGAGGCAGTATTTACGCTAGAACGCGATAATTGCGAAATTGTGGCCTGACGAGACCGCCGGCGATAGCCGCGCCGGTGCTCGTAACAACGGAATTAACTCGCGCGTATGCGCGCTGGATGTTGAAACGGTCAAAACTGGAAGCGACCGAAGTCGCGAGAGAGGCATGCCGTCGAAGAGAACCGTTTGGCAACGAGATTTCGATACTCGGAAGCTGCATAAATTTACGACTTGTCGAAGCTACGGTGAAATTTCTCTTTTTACATTCTGCGAATTTCGGCACGTTCGTAAGGACGCTCCTCGCGACGTCGTAACGATCGGCATGCAAGAATGTCAAGATGAATAAAAGATGTATTTAATATTTTATACGTAGGAGAGGAAGATCGCACCAATCGAATGAACGATCAATTTTATTACTGAATAAAAATCTCGACTCGATCGTCGTCAGGACGAGAGGATTTCGAGCATCATCTCCGTTAACATTGTAATTTCCGACCGAACGTACCGATTGAAATTCTCACGCCATCACCGTATCCGCTGCATATGGTGAACGCGTTTCGTCGTATTGCCGCAGCCTAATTCGCCGATGACATCGCGATGACGTCATGAAGCGGAAAACCGGTCCGATGTGCGGTCGCGCGTCTTATTCCGCTTCTTACGTGGCTTTCGTTTCGTTAATTGGCTTCGAATCGCCGTTAAAATCGAGCTACTACCGCGATCGCTGCTGCACCGGTTCTCGTAACGGCTCGTTGCTGGACTTCTACACGTGGATCGCGTGATTAGATTACCGGAGCGAGCATCGAAAGAGACAAGTTATTCTTCAAAATAATACTTGTCCATTAAAGAGAAAGACAGAAAGAGAAAATTTTGCTCGTTATTTCGTGCAATGCAACAATTGCTTTGGAAACTTTTCTTAATGATTCTAAACAATCACGAAGATACACTGTGAGATTCAGGTAGCGTCGTAAAAAGAAAGATAATTTTTACTACAATATTTTTCCCGTATTTAAGGTTTTAAGAAAACATTATTTGAAACATATTCTGCATTAGTGTAAGCAAACATGCTATTAATTAGTACTAACCGAATAAATACTTTTTATTTCTTAGATATTTTTCTCTCGGGTGTACGACGCGTTCATACTCTTTTGTCTTCTTTGTTTCATATATCGAGTCCGCAATCTGCGGAAATGAAAGGAAGAAAATGTGCCGGACGCGAAATAGCGGGGAGATTACGTTGGCAATAAGGTGCGTTTGTCTCGCGGTCGCATTAGGCGGCGCATCACGGTGCGGGGGTGGTATTTTACGAGGGTTTAATGTCCCCGGAGGTGCATCCTAATTGTACCAATAAATCCCGATAGGATCCTTCTCCTCTCGTTTCTCTCGTTCGGTTCTTAGCGCGCGCGTGTATGTAGGTGTGTATTTGTATTTGTGGATAC